CTACTCCAAGAGCTCCGTCCACTAATGTAGTGGATATGGGTTATGAGTACGGGAAACCGGTCTAGGAGACTCGGGCAGAAAACCCGAAGGTTAAACCTAGATAATATTGTCCAATAGGTTTTCGCAAAAAAAAAAAGAAAAAACAAAAAAAAAAAAAAAAAAAAAAGGAAAACCGAATGGATTCTACTCCAAGAGCTCCGTCCACTAATGTAGTGGATATGGGCTATGAGTACGGGAAACCGGTCTAGGAGACTCGGGCAGAAAACCCGAAGGTTAAACCTAGATAATAATGTCCAATAGGTTTTCGCAAAAAAAAAAAAAATGTGTGTTGTTTGGGAAGTACGTGTTCTTGGAGTTGTGGGAGAAACCGGTTGGTAACAACCGGATGAGTTATTGTCATGGTGAAGTGATGGATTAGATTGTACATATTGAGCCACTTAGCCTATATTTATCCTACCCTGTCCAAAGAGCCTACGTTACATCCCTACAAGTCCTCTTGATTCGCTGTCTCATTTATTTGATTGTTTTAGAGTAGAAGTTAGACGATAGGCAAATTTATGATTGACGAGACTGATGACCAATTTGAGTGCACCTATCTTATATTTTGCGAAAGAAACTGAGTGAGGCATACACATTTGCATACTCGAGAGTCTTTGTTCCTCAATATGGCCGAGTTAATTGTTGAAGTGTGTGCTTGTGATCATTTGAATTCTTCTTGACTTAATTGATTGATTTGAGATTGGTTTTGCTTGAACCGTTGTCCTTGCTCGTTTGTTTGATTTTCTTTCCTTTTCTTTTCTTTTGTTCGGGACGAACAAAGGTTTTAGTGTGGGGGAGTTGTTCGTTCCACTTTTGTCATGTTTTCTTTGTTTATTTCATGCTTGTTTTTCCCCTACTTAGGTATTTTTCTTTGGCTTTTGGTCCGTTTCGAGTCGTCTCGTACTTATCCTTTGTTTTAGTCGTTTTTGGTCTTTTTGTTCGTTTTCCCCGGTTTTCCGTATCTCTTGTCGGTGGTGATGTGCAGGTTTGGTGGTTCGGTGTATGACTATGCGAAGTCTACTGTCTAGTTGGATGAGTTGGGGTCGTATTGGAGAAGACGGGATCAAATTCCGAGTCCGGATGAGAGAAGACGAACCCGAAAACCAAAGTTCAGAAATTCTTCGCCGCGGCCGCGGAGAAGAGGAGGTCGCGGCCGCGAGATGCACGTAAATTCCAATTTCTGGCTCGGGAAGGTCGCGGCCGTGGAGGAAGTCGCGGCCGCGAGATGTTGTTCGCCGCGGCCGCGGAGGGCTAAGTCGCGGCCGCGGAGGTCGCGACAGCAGGAATTTTATGCTGCGCGTTTGATCAGTTTTTCATTCACTTTTTCACCTAGGTTTAGACTCTCTCTAGTTTTTATTCACTCCAAAACAGTTTTTCTCTGAGTTCTTCTTAGGATTTGATCTTGGATTGTGAAATCACCAAGATTAAGCACAAAGGATTCGGTTATTCGTGTATTCAACATTGGATTCTTCAGTCGTAAGCTTTCGTTTCGTTTTCTTATTGATTGAATGGCTTTGATTATTACATGTGTTGGAGTTGAATGCATTATGAGTAGCTAAATCCCTTAGCTAGGGTTAAGGGAAGATCGTTCCGGGTTGACTTTATTTATGTGCATGATAATTGCTCAATCCTCTCGAGTTGTGCTTAACTTAGGGTTTTGATGATTGATCTCCATCTCAACCTATCTAATCGATTTTAAAACTGAAAAGGGAGAAATCGTTTGATCTAGGCTCGGTAGGAATAAGCTTGTTCGTAATAGTATTGCTTATGTGTTGATTGCTTCATGAATTGCTTATAAATGTCTATCCTCTTGTTACGAATAGTTATTGAGGATAGACCTCTAGATGAGTAGTTTGGCGAAGCATTCAACCGAGCTCTTGATTGCTCGTTAAGTGTATTGAGAACCGGAATTGATCGACCCCGATACCCTAGCTCCTTCATATATATATATTAAATTTGTGATTCCTAGTTTGCTTGCCCTGTTCAATCACTTGCTTTTCAAATTAGTAGACGATAATCAAATCTCCAAACTTGATTTAGAATGTTTAGGATTTTCACTTCTTTTATTTTCCATTTCTGTGCTTGAATAATCGTACAAAATAATCCGACTAACCTTCCTTGAGACACGACCCGGTGTTCGAATCTTTTGATTAAAGTCCGGTAAAAATTACTACAACAATGCCGACAAAAGTTGTGACGTGGATTTGCAATCTCGTACTTGTTCTTGTAAAGAATGGCAAGTATCTAAGATGCCGTGTAAGCATGCATGTGCTTATGTTGAGAGTAAGTCAATGTCCATCTATGATTTTTGTGATCCATATTATCGCGTTGGGATGTATAAGCAAGCTTATCAAGGTATTATTAACCCCATACCTAACTACGACCATAATGTGGCCTCTTCCTCGTTTTATCTTGACAATGTCATTCATGCCTCGGATGTACGTTCTCAACCCGGCCGCAGGAGGGAAAAAAGGTTTCCGTCAACACGACCTTCATCGACAAAATTTTTTTTCAGCAAATCTACCACATCTTTTCTTTTCAAAACCTTTTTATCTAACCGGCCCCAACTGTCAAATAGGGATTTACAATCCAAAAAAAGGTCTAAGTCAACACTTAGACCACCTTGGTGCAGCCCCATTGTGACACAAAATTCAGTCGGATCAAAATTCAAAACCAATTGATCACCAACAGAAAATGCATTAATGTCAACCCTATAGAAGCTAATCAGGGTTTCAAGTCTAGCATGTGAAACAGGGATCTCAGGCATATTAACGAAGGGCTTTGTCGAAGAGCCTCATGGTGTTGTTCAGACAACGAAATAAGAATTTGGTCCATCACATCTTTGAAGTAAGAACATCTAAATTCGGATCCCTATTATAAACAGAAAAAAATAAGGAAAAAACCGTAAATCATAAATCAGTAAAAAACCCTAATAATATAAGAGAATTTAGAATCATTATACACTGCAGACTAGGGAACCAAAAACTTAAGTGGAAAAGTAAAAAATTATAATGATTCAACTTTCTGAAAATTAGGGGAATAGGTTTCGAAACAGCACCACAATAACATATAAAAAAAGAAACACAAATTATCAGGGCTAGATAGACACACGTCTGGCTATAGGCAAAGGCCACGGACGAATGAAAAAATATGAATAAAAGAGTGATGACATTAACAACATATACATCAGCATATAAAAATTGCATTTAGAAACCAGAAGAAATGAGGATATTAGGAACACAAAATAGAAATTAACAAATAAAACCATAAATTTTACGAAAAATGCATGTGTTTGGAATTTAGGAAATAATAGCAAATTAGGAACAAAAATCATAAATTAGCTGAAAGAAGCCCTAAATTATCACAAAATTAGGAACAATTTCATATAATTAACCAAAAGCCCTAATTGACAAATTAACCAAGAACCCTAAAATTAGAAAAAAAATCAACAAAATTATAAAATACCCGTGTTAATGCCTTTGTTGGTGACTTGGCTGGTGTGGAGGAGGATGACGGCTTGTTCCCGTCGAGCTTCTTCTTGCCGTCGGGCATCGCGACAAGGATAGAGAGATAGCAGGGGAGAGAGGGTGAGACGGACAAATAGATCGCGAGACAAATAGATCGTGTCTACCAAGACGGCGACAGTGAGACGGTGGCGGTGAGGTAAAGATCGCGGGGGAGAGAAGATGACGGTGAAGTAAAGATCGCGGAGGCGGAGAAAGGGCGACAGAGAGGGAGAGACGGTGAGAGAGAGAGTGTGTTGTGAGATGAGAGAGAGAGTGTGTTGTGAGATGAGAGAGAGAGAGAGAGGTGAGTGTATATGATTTATTTTTGGACAAAATAAATGAAAAATATTATTATTAGTATATATAGGGGGAGTGAAAAGGAAAGATAAATTTGTATTAGGGACTGAAATGGCATTTTGGAGCATTAGGGACTGAAAAGGAAGTTGGAATTTGGACTAGGGATTTATCTGTCAATTTCCGATAATATAAATGAGATTTAGTAGTAAGTATCATATATATCAACTATCATTTATTAAAACTTCAATGAATATGTAAACATGAATGTGAAATCTACAAATTCAATTGCATACTAAATATTTTAATAAAAGTCTAACACAATCAAATATTGTCTTGAATAAAATTATTCAAATAAAATCTATTCAATAAAATATTGTAAAAAATAAACGCAAAAATGAAATAAAAGGGGTATAATAATCATAAAAGAAAAGTAGAAAGAAACTTAAATCATGTTCGAATATATAATTCATTAATTTAATGTAAACCAAATTTAACTTATTTTGGACCAAAATACGATTAATATTGGACTAATATATTATAACATGAGTTAAAATATTTTTTTACTAGTATAAAATTAATAAATGCGAAAAATTAAGACCGGATTGGAGCCCAACACAGTCTTTGGGGTGGCTCCGCCCCTGGGTTAAATTGCTAACTGAGCAGTATTTGTTTATAGGAACAATTTATTTATTTTCGAATTAATGCCAAAAGAGTTAGTAATCTTTCTTAAAACCACGTAACCTCCCCATAAGTCCATAAAATAAATAAATAAATAAATAAATAAATCAGTTAGTGTAATATTGATTTTGTCCCACTTCTAAAATGACTGAGTAGTCTGGCTTTTGCCTATCTCCAATCATAATATTTAGATATGTTGATGAAAATAATTGTTAATGTCAGTGACGTTGGATTGTGGACATATATACATAGAAAAAAAAATGATGATTTAGCAGTCAATTAACTGATAAAATTAGCAAATCCCCAACAATAATGTATTATGGTTGAAAAGAAAACTCATGGAGGGTTTTCCGTAGTTTTCTTTCTGAAATGACTTCAACCACATGTTATTAATGTTATCCCATCATCTTTATCAAGCTTTCACATTTTCCTTTTTTTCTTGTTTTCCCATTCTCAGTTTCAATTTCAAAACAATGAAANAAAAAAAAAAAAAAAACAAACAAAGATGAAAGAAAAATTGAATTTAACGCATCAACGTAGTGAAACATTTGGTAGATCCAAATATGTTGTCCTTGTCATGACATTCATCTATTTCCTCGATCCTGCACTTGGCTTTTCTGAGGGTAACGTCGTCAATTCGCTTCTCTTGACACAAAACATTGGAACCAATCGAACAATAGTCGTGGATGCAAACGGACAAGGGGACTTCAAATCCGTACAAGCCGCCATTGATCATGTCCCAAATCGGAACTCGAAATGGATTGCCATTCACATCAACAAAGGAATCTACAGGTGATTTTTATTCGTTATTTAATCACATGATCAATGAAAACGATGATAAACAATTTTTAATGTTATTACATACATATAAAAATGAAATACAATGTGAACAATTTGTGATGCCTTGAACTTAATTTTACAGAGAAAAGGTTAGAATACCGAGTGACAAACCTTATATATTCATGAGAGGCAGTGGAAAAGGGAAGACATCCATTGTGTGGTCCCAAAAGTCAGAAAAGAGCTATGACTCAGCCACTTTCAAAGTTGAAGCTCCACATTTTGTTGCATTTGGTATCAGCTTTAAGGTTTGGTATATTATACCCTCTTCACTTTCCTACATGACATATATATAACTTTCTTGAAATAACTAAACAAATAAGAATAAAGAAATTGGCGTATAAGAATGTTAGAGAATAACTACATCGCAAAACAATTCTCTACCTAAGATCCAAAATTTGAATATTACTAACACCATAAACTAAAATGATCATGCATGTTTATGTGGATTTGTTATGTTTAGTCCTGTTATCTGTTTGACTTTTCTATCTTGATAAAACGCTTTTACAGTCGATTCGCGCCCAAAATTTTTCAATTGTTTATTTGTAAACGCGATCAACCTTCTTTTTTTTCTTAAAACACTTTTTTTTTCTTTTTGTCATGACAATTCAATTTATATAGAAATATCATACTGCAACCAGCCCGAGTCACTAAACGACATTATGTGCTTGCAAACTTTGCAACTAACGCTATAACATTTCTAGTCCATCATTAATAGCATTTTTGTGTATCATCCATTAGGCTTGTGATCGAACAAGAATTCGAACATTGCTCACGATTCACGCTTAATCATAACAGAACACAGCTGCGAAAAAAAACTCGGTGGCAGCATTTTTGGGAGCAGACAAAGCTGCATTTTACGATTGTGCATTTTTCAGCAACCACAATACTCTTTATGACTATAAGGGAAGGCACTATTACCACAATTGTTACATCCAAGGCTCTATGGATCTCATTTTTGGACTTGGACAAGCTATGTTCCATGTAAGCAAATCCTAACTACACTAAATATCCCAAAGGGTCATATTTGTTAATCAACCTAAGCACTTGTTACGATTATTGGACAGTAAAATACGGTATACTTTTATTTATTATGCATTTTTTTTTTATTTTTTTTTTGTTTGCAGGATTGTGAGATATTTGTGATTGGTAACCAGAGACTTGAAATTGGAGGATCAATTGCAGCCAATCACAGGCAAAGCCATGAAGAAAACAGCGGGTTTGTGTTTTTGAAGGGCAAAGTGTACGGAGTTGGAGATGTGCACTTGGGTAGAGCCAAAGGGTCACATTCCAAGGTCGTTTTTGCAAATACCTACTTATCCAAGACTGTTTCTCGTCAAGGGTGGACAAAAAGGAACTATAAAGGAAGTACAGTGTAAGAAAACTCGTCTCATAATCGATTTTCTCAAGGCTGGTGTAAGTTCACCTAATAGGAATAGACGACCATATTTTTTATAGAAAAGAATTTGTTGAAAATAATTAATCTTCAACATTTGGTCGAGTTTTCAAATTTTTCGGCCAATGGTTATGATGTTCTGCTGATGTTTGTGGTGTTGTTTTTGTTGATTGTAACAGCAATTTGCACCACGCTGAGTATAAATGTCACGGGCCGGGTTCTGATTCTGTGAAGCGGGCTCATTGGTCCAAACAACTCACTTATAAAGATGCTGTCAACTTCCTCACCGTTGATTTCATCACAGGCCAAGAATGGCTGCCTACATGGTTTTGAAGTGCATCTTTGAATTGTGCTTGACAATGGTTGATGCCTCTAGCTGTGCTTTTGAATATTTATATTAGCAGTGTGCAATGTAACTTGTACTTAGGTAAAATGTATAGCACTTGTAAAGTTATTCTTCAGTCATATTTACAGAGTAGAAAGAGTGCATGGTAATTGTTCTTTTATGTACTCTTGTGATGTATAGCTTAGGAATAAAATAAATGACTATTGGAGATATGAATATCTGCTTGATAATTGATATGGTTCAATTCCTGATATTGTGCAATGGATACCATTCCTAATGAAAAAAAGGTGTAGAAATGTGGTCGCAAATATCAATTGATATGAGATACCGGATCCTGACATATTAAACCTAGTAAACCGGTCGACCAGACCAAGGGAGCCGACTTATCGAGCATGACAGCAGGAAGTCCGACGGTGGTCGAACATTGTTGAGGAAGAACCGGGAATCTCCAGATCGAAGACAGCAATAAGTGTACAGGATAGCAACAACATGTCGAGATAGGCCCTTGGATGGTCTGCTGGAAACTCGACATGTAGGCACAGTTGGCCACACGATCGACCAGAAAGGACAACACTTGGTCTTAGGGCAGGTGACGTTCTATCTCAGTGGCATCAAGCAGGTTACACCACTAGGCCGCCTAATGAGAAAAAATAAAGGATCGGGAGGAATCTTAAGGGGTTAAGTGTCGCACGTGGATAGGGTCACGTGGCCTAACAGAATTAGGCAGCTCGGGTTGTACTATCGGACAGTTCAGGCAGTTTGGGCAGCCCATCCGAGCAATCTTGGGCAACAAGGTATCACCTCCCTATAAAAGGGAGTGAGGTATGTCTATTATTGCATTACATTCTCTATTATTCCATACACTATTTTCTGCACTTCATCTTCTACAAGTGCTCATTTAAGCATCTGAGGCTCTTCACCGAAAAATTCCTCTAGTGTGAGAGTTTTTGCAGATCCCCAGGAGATCTACTAGCAAGGAAGCTCAAGTTCAGACCAATTCCAGCCGATCCGAGGCCTTTTGCGTACCATTTTGACGCCGTCTGTGGCACTTTCGTTCGAAAAGTCGTGTTCACCATAGCCATGGCCGGTGAAATTCCCAACAAGAATTTAGAGCACACCTTTGACGAGGATTGGCCGAACTCTCGCCCATTCGGAGCAGGCCCTGGTGACCCCAACACCTCATCCTATGGGCTTAGGGAGTCCATCGGTGGTCCCGACCGACGTTGCAGGCCCGAGAACAAGGCGGAGTATTAGGCAGTGGTCAAAGGTTTACAATTAGCCTTAGCTGCAGAATCCCGAGAAAACCAGGGGCACTCGAGGTATGGGAAGACAGGATGCAGAAATATGTTGATGAGATGAAAATGTTGCAAGGGGAGTTCAACTTTTTCGAGCTGATCAAAATACCGAGGGGTGAGAATGATCGAGCCGATTTGTTGTTGAAAATATCCCAGAATTTGGCTGATTGCAGGGGCCGGAGTGTCATCTTACTGCACATGTAAAAAAGTGCGATCGAGGTCAATATGGAAAAAATTCAAGAGGTCGAGGATTGGAGACCCCCTATTCTGTGCGAACTGAACGAAGGAAATTAAAGTATGTTAAAAGGTTTTTCGGGCAGGGAGGGATTTTGTGTAAGAGATCATATTCAAGACCGCACTTAAGGTGTTTGACAGATGATTTGGTTGTACTAATAATAGTAAGGTGGAGTCGCTGGTGGCAAAGATTCTTGGATTTGGTTATTTTTTGCCGACCATGAGGGCGGATGCAGTCACGAAGGTGAATAAATCCTTACAGTGCCAAAAGCATAGTCCACTTATCCATCAGCCGACGGAGATGATGACCACGATGAGCTCACCAACTCTGTGCGCCCAGTGGGGAATCGACCTAGTGGGGCCTATGCCACAGGTTCGGGCCAGAGAAAGTTGTTGATTGTGGTTGTGGATTATTTCACCAAGTGGGTTGAAGCCGAGCCTTTTGCCAAAATCACGGAGGATAAAGTGGTGCACTCTTTATATAACAATATTTGTTACAGGTTTGACATTCCTAAAGTGTTGATGTCCGACAATGAAACTCAATTCAACGGCAAGCGGGTTCGAGCATGGTGTGAGGATATGAAGATCGAGAAACACTTCGCCTCGGTAGCTCATCTGCAAGCCAATGGTCAGGTCGAGGTCACAAAATGATTTATTTTGAGCAGGCTGAAGGCAAGATTGGAGAAGGCCTCGGGGGCATAGGTCGACGAACTTACTTCAGTACTTTGGGCATATCGGACCACCCCGAGGACGACGACCGGCGAGACCTGATTCAGTTTGGCATACGGGATTGAAGAATTGCTACAAGCTAAGATCGAGCTAGAGTCCTAACGATTGACAACATATGATCGTGAGCAGAACAAACAGCTGATACGAGCAGCATTAGACACAATCGACGAGCTGTGGGAAGAAATATCGATCAGAATAGCGGCACACAAACATAGAATGCAGAAGGCACACGGCATATTTTGATTTCTCACACACAAAGCACATGTATGGCACACACTAGCACACACGACACTCACACAGAGCACCTTTATTTTCTTTATTGCCTTACACCTTTTTCCTTCTATGTTTCTGCACACACCTAGAGACCAATATTTAAAGGTTGTAAAGGTTGAGATATAAAAAGGAGAAAACGGGTGAAAAACAATCAGGTCGACTTTTGTGGAATTCACCCCTAAGGATTTGGCTGAAGAGAGATCAGTGATAACGGCATAATAGATATTTATTTCTGCCCCAAAAAAGAATGCACAAATACCATATTTGCTATTAAGGAAATGAGCCGGTGGATCGAACCCGTGAAGGTGTTTTTCTTGTGCCATCCATTTAGAGTACTAACCTCCTCATCCAGAAATCCTTATCTATTTGCTTCCAGGATTGTATGGTCACAGTTTGTGGTCTTGAAAATTTTGCTCAAAAGCTGAATTGTAAAATGACCTTTCCAACTGTATTGATCGTAAGAAATTTTCGTGGTTTACACTTGTCAAGCAATTCTTAATATCACAAGTGGTGTTTATAATTGTGAAATTGGGAAGACTATGTTAAGCAATTTAACGGTTTGAGACTATGATACTTTTTCAATAGACACAAACATTTTTAAACTGAAAAATCTCATACTCTAAATTTAAGGTATATGAAATTACAACATTCGATATCATAAATGTACATTTTTATGAAAACGGTAGCATATCTCTACCTGCATGATGATTTTATCCAAGAATTCATATTTCAAAATAGTAACCTCTCCCTCGCAAGTGATGTTTATAATTTGAAGTAAAGGTTTATAATTTGAATTATAACCTCTCTAGGCGCAAGATTAATCTTGATAAGCGATTTTTTCTTCCTGGGACCAGTATATATAGATGCATGGAGCCCATTGCAGAACAAAAGGAAATAAATTTTTACCACTTGCATTCACAAAATGTACATATCTTAGCTTCACACAACACTACCAAACCGTAGATACCACGACAAACTGTAACGTAGTTTTGATTCAACATCTGCACGTACATTTTGATCGATGATGCCCTAAATATAGCACTGATTAAAAATTATGAACCAATAACTTGTCCAATACCTTCTATTTCGAAAACACAAGCAATCTCTTATCCACAAACTACTAACGCCGATTGTGTACTCAGACAAAACACGAACACAATCTATGTTGTACCTACAGCTCTTTCTGGCCAGCACGTCCAGCTTGATGCTGAATAGCAAATTTTTTGTGCAGCTCTTTTAGCTTTTCGACTAATTCTTGGAATGACGGACGACACTGTGGTTCACTGTGAAATCGGAACAAAAGTAATTCGAACGAGATGAAATCTAAATCATACCAAGGGGTGTATTCAATTGGGATTTCTAAAAACTTTCTAAAACTTTAGAAATCCTGGTGTATTCAATTTAGATTTGTTCAGACTTTTGAAAATATTGAGGTTTTCAATTGAGATTTTAAAAAGTCTTTCAAAATCATTAGATATTTAACTTATTTGAGACTAAGATTTGTTAAGACTTTTTAAGATTTTGTGGGATTTCTAAAATCGGAACCTTGTACGAAATCCCAATCAAAATTCCACCTCCAGACTTAAGATTCCACAGAATTCCTCCAAAATCTGAAAATCTTAAAAAGTCTCAAAATGTCACTTAAAAATCCTAATTGAATATACTAGATTATATCTTTTATTGACAGGGAGAAAACAAAGAATAATTGCATTAACTGCCTCTAAAGTTCAACTTAATAACAACGAGATTCAATTATATATAAGACTAAAAAGATGCTTCACATGATATCTGTAAGAGCGATAGCATTATTTTTCCTTTTCATTTTTTTTTTTCACTTATAGTCTTTTTATGTTAATTTAAGCCAATAACATTTGTAATTACCCTAGAAAAATGCCATATAAAAATTAGAAGAGACAAATAAATAAATCGTTCTAGTAAAAAAAAATAGGAAATTGATAGAATGAGGCCGAACATACCTATGCCAGCAGCTCTCTATAACTGAATTCCATTGTGGGTCAACATCTCCTGGTAAATCCAACCGTTGATTCATGAAACCCACAGTTCCAATCACCTACAAACAACAAATCTTAATAAATCATAAAATTACCATCGATAATCAACTTAGGACAGTTATTTTGCATACTTTCATATAATATATATCGTCTAAAGAGGTTAATCAAACGAGATTGACAACAAGTACCTGCACTGCATTGAGGGTCTCCCAAGGAATCTTATGCGTTGCAAGTTCCCATAGTATCACCCCGAAGCTATATATATCGGCCCTAAATCATTTCAAATAAGATGAAAAAATATCAGCATTGCAAGAGCTTATTTCTCACGATTAATATAATTAATATGAAACAAATAATGAAGGTACTATTCAGTTAACCATACTTCTCATCTGACGGTTCATTACGAAGAACTTCTGGAGCCATCCACTGAGGCTGCATTACATAAGGAAGCACAATTTTAAGTGATAATGTGGGAACAATTTTAAGAGGATGCTTGGATACAAAAAAATTCAAAAGAAAAATCCAAACATTTTAACTCAAAACACTTTTTTTTAACTTAACCTCACTATCATCGATATTATCAATATAGTTAAATAATATTAATCAATCATTATTACACACCACATCAACTTTACTTCATTATTCATCCGCTAACATAATTTTAACTATCACTTCAAATCATCAATCATCTCTCTCCAACTATTACATCAAATCAACTTTAATTATTTTATTTTAAATATTATTTTAATATATCCACTGACAACTAACCATACCACATTTTTAAAATTAACCAAACCAAGCTAAAAAATCCAAACAAAACAAAAAAAAATTATGTGCAAGGCAATCGGCACATAATCTAGGGTAAATTATTTTAAAACAGAAAAGAAGACTCGTCTCATGAATTGGAAATATCCCTTTCAGGTTATAGCATTTTCTTTCCCAATATCCCTTTATTGAAGGTGTGATGTGTGGAATGGAAACAATTGTAAAAGGATTTGTAATTTTGAAACATAAGTTGTCTTCTTTTCCTCCAAATAAAATTTAACCTCAGGGTTTTGTTAATTAATTAACATGTCTAAGTAGAAAACAAGGTGCCAGTGAAATACCGTTCCTCTGCCCGTCTTTGTTGTCAAATAGGTTTCGTGTTTAAGACGCGAAAGACCAAAGTCTCCAACCTGTTCAAGTGCACAGTAAATCATAGTTAAGAAGGCTCGAGAAGAAAACAAAGGAACCAAAAATATAAATACAAGACTAGAAAATAATAGTGATGGAAAGCTGACCTTAACAGTCCAATTCTTGTCAACGAGAAGATTTGAAGACTTCAAATCACGGTGAACGATAGGCGGGTTGTAATGGTGAAGATAATTCATGCCTCGTGCCTGTTATAAATTGAAAGATTAAACAACATTGTGAAAAAACAATTTATATATTTAGAAATTAATTTTTCGTCCATAAAATTATCTTAAAGTTTGATGGTGACACTTACTATATCCAAAGCCATATGAACACGCCTTCTCCACTCCAATTTTGATCCATTTTTCTGCAATAACCGGAACAAACTGCCCCTGCATCAAAATGAATCATGAATTCAAATAGAAGAGGCTTCTATGAATTACAAATCTAGGGATATCAAATAATATACATAAGTTCATATGATAACCACATATATATCATTATTCAACTATATATATCAAATTAAAAAGGAAAAACAGACTACCTTGGAAGAAACTCCGTTACAATGCAAAGACGTTGAGGAGAAGTAACTGCACCCATGAATAGGAGAATATTTGGGTGCCTCAGTCTCTTCATAAGTGACACCTTCAGAAAATCACAAGAAAATGACAAATTACAAGAGATTACAAGTGTATTAAATCAGGATTTCTTCACTTCAGTTTTTTTTCGTATCTCTTTGCATTTCAACTCACTGAGAAATCAATTATTTTAACATGCAAATTGCATCTACATCGTATTAACTTTCATGCACACACACACACACACACACACACACAAAAAAGTAACAGAAAACAAGACCAACCTCCTGTCTGAAGGAATATATCACATCATCAGAATACTCTTGTTTCGAGAATACCTTGACAGCGACATCCTGCACGTCAGACATACAGTTTCACTCTATTACATGGCCAAACTGGCATCACATTATTTACCAATACTTAAATGTAAACACTCTTTTTTTATTTTATTTTAAATTTTTCTTTTTTTATCAGTGTTTGTGAGTAAGATTGAAGGTCTGTTCTCTAAAAGCAGAGCAAAAGAACATACTGATCCATACCACAGAGCATGATACACAGTCCCACATGAACCTGCACAACCACACCAAAAAGCAGCAATAAGTTCTTGCTAAAACATAAACAAGAGAGACCTCATATAACTCATTAACTCAGAAAATAGCATCAAACACCTCCAACCAGCAAATTAACAATATGCAAAGACTCACCAGAATAAAAACCATCTATATATCGACTAACCTTGCCCAATTTGTTCCCCAATAGTCAAATCCTCCCACAAAATCTCATAATCCAGGCAATCCGAATCCAAATCGACTCTATTAACCACACTACTTGAAGTGCTCCCGCAACTACTAGCACTGCTCGAACTATTAACATTAACCGACGAAGACCCCTCAGTATTAGTCGCACGATTTGTCTCATTTTCTTGTTCACTGTTCAACCAAGTCCACCCAAAACGTTCGTTCCCTCTCCACGGCCACGAAAGGTGCGTTTTCCCGATCAAAGCCTCCGCCTTTGTAAGAATTTTCGAAATCCCAGGTTTCTGTTCGCTCTCATCGCTCGAGTGTTTTCCAGGAGAGATCTCTTTGTGGGACCCACCTGAAAAGACTCCAAAAGGGGTGGGATGTGTGTCCCCTCCTCTTGGAGTGCTGGCGCCGCTGTCCGACAGCTGGCTGTCCCCACTGCCGCCTTCGTGATCCGAGTAATTTTCGGTGTGCTTCATTTTGGACTTCACTTTGCTGCTCACTTTAGAAGCCTGTTGGAATTTTTTTAGGGGTTTGGGCATATGCTATGTGAAGGATCTTTAAGAAGTTATGCAGCAAAAAAATGATAATTCAAGTAGTTTTCTAGTATTTTTCAACTTTTAGCCATTGATTCTCGTACGATAGATTATAATCGATGGATAGTGATCAATATATACCTTGACGTTCGGCTATTTGAAAAAGCTGTTAAAATTTAAACTTTCCCCCTTAAAAAGCAATTAAGGGGGAAAATCATGCAAAAAAATATCGCTACCTCAAATTTAAGACAAAATCAACTGCAAGTTTTTATTCCCTTTCTATATTTTCTTTTAATACCCTCGAGTTCTTTAAGTACATTCCAATATCCCTTACGCAATCAGAATAGAAAAGATTGGGCAAAACTGGTTCTTTCAGATTAATACGATAACCAGAACACTCACCAAATTCGATATTTTTGACGTGATTGCCACTTGTAGAGGCTGTTGAGGATCGAGCCCAAGAGCGGATGAGGCAATGCTTATGTTCCTACTTAAACTCGACGACTCAATATTTTCCGATTCCTTTGAAACTGATACCACAGGCTTTGCTTCTTGGAAAGGCTTGGAATCGTTAGAGACGCATATAATCCCGACTAGAGTTCCATCATCGTCATAGAAAGGCGTATTGGTCGCGATTGCCATAAACCTTTCCCCTCTTTTGTTCCTCACTGGAAATTGACCCGTCCAGCTTTCGCCCATTGTTACACGACGAACAATGTCATTGGCCACAGAAAAATCTCGAGGGTCGGTTAGGAGCTTGATGGCATCTTGCCCTAGAGCCTCAGAGGCTGAATATCCATAAAGATTTTCTGCTGTTTTATTCCTGAATCAAAACACATTGATCTTTTTCGTAAACATAAAAAATAAAAAAGAAATAAATTTTGTCATGCGATTCAAATTGCTCTATAAAGTCCACAACAGAATTTCAAGAAACCCGAGCAAAGCACCAGGAAAGGTTTTCTCTCTAAATATGGAAAGTGTTAGTTCAATTTAATTTAAAACTGACCAGTATATTATCCGGCAATTCAGATCAAATATATGCACCGATTGCCCCATCGACTGCAATATATTCAAATACTGTTTATCGGTGAACTTAACCCCACCGCCACTGCCAACCCTCGGTGGCTCGCTATTACGACTCTCTCTCTGCAAAGGCGAAGAGTGGCGGAATGACATGGAGCCTCTCCTCCACGCCGCCAAGGCGCCGCCGTCCCCACCGTTGGCCCGCCGGCGCGGCGCTCTCTGCGGCGAGATGGAGTGAGACCTCTGCCTCTGCTGCCGATCGGCGGCCTTTATCTCGGCCGTGGACGAAGTCATGAGCTTCGACATTTCCTGCTTCAGGTGGGCGTGGCCCAATTCCAGCTCGTGGATCTTCTTCAGCAGCTCCTCAGCTGGTGGCGTCGCCGCCGCCGCCGCCGCTGATTTTGTGGTGCCGTCGTTCATAGGTGGGAAAAATTTTCAAAACCCTTCAAAATTGAATCTTGACAGAGAATGCTCAATCAAATATAAACAATATTGGGCCAAGATTATAATAACTTTTTGGGCAATTATTCTGATTTTTCCCTTTCAGGCCCGGGTAAGAATCGATCTATGGCAAGAATCACCAATATATTCCTTCTCGCTCTCGAAAAAGGTTTAATCTTTAGCTGTGTTCTATCATAAACACATATTCATGTGGTCTTCGAGAGCTCTAAGCTATTACCCTATAAACTCCTTTCCTTTTGGCTTTTCTCCAACTCCTCCCTTTATCTCTCGCCCAACTTTTGTAGCTATATGTTCTATCTTTTAACTTTTCCTTGTGTTTGTCACTCTCTCTCTCTTGAGTACCGCCCCTTCTCTCTCTAAAAATGTCAGCATTTTGTGAGCTATGGCTAGTGGGAGGTTCTCGATTTTACCTGTAATTAACACAGTTTGACCGCGTGATTGAGGACCACTCTCGGAAGAAGAGCGTGTGTATCACGCATCGTGAATAGCCAATTATGTTGGGATAAAGTCAGGGTGTATATAGGCTGTGGGTGCACGACAGGTTTCAGCAGCTAGGGCCATAATTTTGATCAGCCTCAGTTTTTTTCTTCTCTTAGAAGGCATACATAAATAATTGAAAACAAAATCCTAATGTAAGACAATGGAACATTTCACACATTTTCATCGTTAAGGACAAAATATTATATTTTCTAAATTTGCACCAAAAAAAATATATATATATTTTCTAAATTAGATTATATAATTATATTAATTTATAAAACAGTTTACTGTTATATTATATATTTGTAAGAGTATTACTAACGGTATGAGTCCTGTGTTCTTTGAAAAATTTTGGAATATTGTGAGTTATGATGTTATTTCTTATGTTTTACACTTCTTGAATTCTAGTACATTTGATCGAGTTATGAATTATACTCACATTGTTCTTATTCCTAAGACTCATAGTCCAGAGCTTATCACTCAATTTCGACCTATTTCGCTTTGCAATGTAGTTTATAAGTTATGCTCAAAGGTAATTGCTAATAGATTGAAACTGTTACTCCCTTCCATTATCTCAGAATCTCAGTCTGCTTTCATACCTGGTCGTCTTATAACAGATAATGTCCTTCTTGCTTATGAAACTCATCATCACATGAAATCGCTTACTCGAGGTCATAGAGGTCTCATGTCTGTTAAATTGGATATGAGTAAAGCCTTTGATAGAATTGAGTGGTGTTTTGTTAACGCTGTGCTAATTGCTTTAGGGTTTGCTTCCTCTTTTGTTAATCTAATCTATGAATGTATCTCTTCAGTCAGCTTTTCTTTCATCCTTAATGGTGAACAATTTGGTAATCTCACCCCAGGGAGAGGCATAAGGCAAGGCGACCCACTGTCTCCTTACATATTTATTATTTGTTCGGAGGTTTTTTATTGTCTCTTACAGTATCTACAGATTTGCAACCGAATTCATGGTATCGGTGTCACTCGTTATGCACCTCGTATTTCTCACCTCTTCTTCGCTGACGACACCCTACTATTTGGAGAGGCAACAACTCAAGAAGCCACGCATTTGAAATGGGCTCTTTCCCTATATGAGCAAGTTTCTGGCCAACAGATAAACTTGGAGAAATCGGGTATCTTATTCAGCCCAAATACTTTACCTTCAGCCCGTGCGGATATATCTAGCATTCTTGGAATCCCCGAGGTCACAGAGCATGGAAAATACCTTGGCTTACCATCTGTTGTGGGAAAGAGTAAGAAGGAGGTTTTTTCAAACTTAAAAGATCGTGTTTGGCAGAGGCTACAGTGTTGGAGCTCTAAAGCTTTATCTCGAGCTGGAAAAGCCATTCTTATCAAGTCGGTAATACAAGCCATCCCCTCTTATGCCATGTCGTGTTTTCTTTTGACGGATCAAGTCATCCACAAGCTACAATCTATGACGAGTAACTATTTTTGGGGTGATCATTCTCAACATCGAAAAATTCATTGGGTATCTTGGAATGCTTTGTGCCGGAGCAAACTTGATGGGGGCTTAGGATTTCGAGATCTCAAAGCTTTTAATATTGCTATGCTTAGCAAGCAGGCTTGGCGGCTTCTTACAAAACCGTCTTCGTTATTGTCTAGAGTTTTGAAGGCGAAATATTTTCCTAATCGTCAATTTATGGAGGCCAATCTGGGAAACAGGCCTTCTTGGACATGGCGCAGTATTCTGGAAGGTCGTCAAGTCTTGGACTTGGGATGTCGAAAGCAAATTCGAAATGGGCGTACTACTAGTATCTGGTTTGATAAATGGACACCTTTGGAGCCTAATTTCCGTACATCAACCGCTCCTTCGTCCCTGTCAGATTATCGTCCCTGTCTGAATCTGCTACGGTTGATACCCTTATTGTTGAGCATTCAAGTGAGTGGAATGTACCTTTGGTGCGGTCTATTTTTCCTAACATTGAAGCTGATGCTATTCTCTCCTTAGCTCTGCCACAAAATCATTTTGAAGACAGATGGATCTCGCATTTCTCCAAGAACGGTAAATTTTCTGTTCATTCTGCATATTTTTAGCGTTTGAATTCTCCTATTTATGCTTCGCACTTAGCTTCGATAACACCTCAACCGTTGGGAGTCCGGGACCGTGTTTGGTGTATGATTTGGAAACTAAAGTTGCCCCCTCGAATCCACCTTCTCGTGTGGCGATTGTATCTTAATGTCCTGTCAACCCCGGATAATCTAGCTCGTCGGAATGTGACATTCGACGGAACCTGCCCTTTATGCTCATCTGTTGCATCCAGCATGCATACTTTCTTTGACTGTAGCGTTACTCTTCAGGCGTTGCGCATAGCTGGTCTTCTTGTTCTTGTTCGGCAGCTTCAGAAAGAAACGTGTGAAACTTGGTGTCGAAATCTTTTGCTTCATATGACGAGTCCGCATATTGAATTTTTTGTTGCAATTTGGGACGGCATTTGGCAAGCCAGAAATGGAGTTATTTTTCAACAGAGAACAGTCAGGCCGTGGAATATTGTGTTAAATGCGAGTCGAATTGTGGCTGAATTCGCATCACATTCTTTAAATCCTGAAATGCCTGATCCCGCTTTGTCCTATCTTCCTACCTCTGTTGTTCCTTCTGACGATGCGACTAGAATTTATTTTGATGGCTCAATATCTCCTAATCGTGTTTGTGGAGGTTCAGGCGTCTTTGCCTGTTCTGCCAATGGGGTGTTTTTACAAGCTCTGTCGCGCCGTTTTGATGGAATTGTTGATGCAGACTTAGAAGAGGCTTTGGCAATGCGGGAGGCGATTCTCTTGCCTCAGAGATTAAATGTTCCGAATGTGGTTGCCATGGGAGATCTTCCTTGATTGTTCAAGCTTCATTTGGTTTAACCGATGCCCCTTCAAGTTGTTCGCCGGTTATTGATGATATAGTTGCTTGTTTATCTCATTTGCCTTCTGTTAAATTATTTTGGATTCCTCGTTCGGAGAATGTTGTTGCCCATTCTTTAGCTAGACATGCAACTAGTTCTTCATCCTCTATCTCTGTATGGAGTGATCCTCCAAACTTTTTATCTCATTTGGTGTTGGACCATTTCCAGTAATTTAATGGTAGTTGTTCTTTCAAAAAAAAAAANGATAATGTGGGTGTTAGTTAAAAAAGTTATATTAATTTTTTCTTTAAAAAAATAAGAGAGTTAATTTTTTATTTAAATTCAAATACCTTTTAGAAAAATTTAGTAGTATTTGTATTTAAAATAAAAGTATTCATTTGTAATAAATTTATAGATAACTTTTAAAATAGATATATATTCTTATTAATTATTAATTAGTATTAACAGATTATGTAATTTTATCATATAAAAAGAAAATTATTTAATATGCAACATGGATAATAAATTGAAGCTCATCAAACGACGAATGAATTGATATATTATATATGACAAATTGATAAAATATAAAAGTTATTAACTTTAAAATATATTTATAATTTGAGTTAGTCGGATATTATATAACTTTAAAAGTCATAATTACAAAGCACCAAAAATGGGCAAATAATATCGGTACATGTTGCATTTATACATACAAAAGATAAACGATATAATCATTTAAAATTTTTCTCAATCGATTTTATTTAATAGATTCTTTAGATATTTATGCGGGGACATTTTGCATTTATATATTATTATATTCATTTAAATTTTTTCTCTCTTTTTTGGTTATCAATCGATCTTATTTGACATATTTTTCACATTAGTTGGCTTTTGCCTGCGCACGCATAGTCGACCCAAATTTAGTCGTTAATCAAGTAAAAATTTTGGATTCTGTTAAACGTACGTACTGTCGAACCCAGTTCAGTCACTTATTTATTATTTTATCATTATTTTTTAATTTTAAGACATGTCGACATAATTTTAAAATACAAGTTCAATTTATAAGGGCATCCACAACCCTCTCATTGATTCAATCAAAATTAACACTCTCTCTCATCCACCTCATGTCCATATCATCATTCCATTAAACATCTTTCCATTTAAACATTCACTCGCATTCCTATCAATTCATTTAAATACATAAATATGGGACCCATTATCCACTCATTCAATATAAATTTTAATATTCTATTCTTAATAAAAATAAAAATTTAATATTTTTAAATTATAACAATAAATTTTAAATGCATGAAAATAAAAGAACACTACAAGACCAATATAACTTATATTATAATTACAAAAGAAACTATGGTACAATTAAAAAATAACTTTTTTAGTTGGTGGCAAAATGGGTCCAAATATGCTCAACTAAGTCGGCACGAAGTTAATGTCTGATGAATTGTATTATCTCGTATCTCTGAACTTATACGAATATAATTTTGAAATTCTCGATTTGAACCCTGGACAGGTTGTGCGGGCTCTTCATCCTCGCCATTGTGCCAATGTGTTACTACATCTTCTTTCATCTTCACCAGTCATATTGTGTAGAATAATTCATGTCAACATAATAAATTTCAGTTTTCTTCTATACCAAAACTGAGCAGAACCTCTTACAATTATCCATCGAGACTGAAGCACCCCAAATGCTCTTTCCATATCCTTTCGAGCAACTTATTGTTATTCTTTAAATAACTTTCTTTTAGGAAGTTGGGCAATGAAAAGACTTTATAAACATAGCTTATTCTGGATATATTCCATCTGTAAGATAACACTCATTTGCATGTTGCGTGTCGTTGACAATAAAATGAACCTTTGGTGCATTTTCTTGCAATACATTATTAAATAGAGGAGATTCATATAATACATTGATATCTTTACGTGATCCTACAACACAAAAGGGCATGCCATATCCACAAATCGTGTGAAGCAACTGCTGCAATGACAATCGTAGGAGACCCATGCTCTCTTATGAATTGGCCTTTCC